GTTTTTTTTGTGTGGTGTAAGTCTATAGAGAGTTTGATTAATTAAGACTACTGTGGATTTACTCATATAAAGGTGTGTGAGTTTGGGGGGCAAAAGGGGAGGGGCTTCTCTCCTGGTGTGAGTTTCTGTTGTTTCACTTCATTTATGTCTAACAAAACTAACAAAAAAAGCAGTTTTTGAGCCGGAAAACCTGAAAGAAGCTGGTCTGGAGCAAGTGTTGGGGGGGGGGGGGGGGGCAGGTCCAGGGCATAACAGGGACACACACACACACACACACACACACACACACACACACACACCACTCTTCCTCACACAAACACACACTTTGCTTCCAATTTTCCACTTTTTTTGGGCCTCAGAAGCTTTTCCAAATGGATTTTTGGGTTATTTCCTTTGCGTTTTTTATCAGATCTGTAAGTTTTTTTCTTCTTTTCCGTTATCTGAGAGGTTCTGACCCCACTTCCTCCTCCTCTCCTCTCCGATGGCCTCCAAACTATGCCAACTTTTATTTAAGAACAGGTCTGAGGGACGGGGAGTTTCACAGGAGGAGCCTGAACGCTTCACGATGTTAACTCATTGACTGCCAGCCATTTTCAGAACAGAGTCCCATACTGCCAGAGTTTTTGGAGCATTTTGACTGATTTTTCAAGAGCCACAGAATAGTTTGTGCTATGACTATGTAAACACCGAACACACCAAAAGAAAGAGTAGACTCTCTTCTTTCATCAGGAAAAGAAATGTGTTTCTACCTTATTCTGTTCTTCCTGGACTTGCGTCTCACCGGCGACATGTTCTCTCATAGAACCGTTCCCTTTTTCTTATTTGCCTACAGTCTATGCTCATCTCCCATCAAAAGTGGCACTGCCCCCTAGAGGGTCAATTTGTTACTACATACTCTGTCTAGAAGCCGATATTTACGGACAAGCTTTAGCAGATCGTCCCCCAGCCACTCTCGTTGAAAAACATAAAAGACGTCTATAGAAGTCTTTGGCAGCCAATGAGTTAACAATCATTAACTTTGGGTCTATTAAAGAGTCATTTTCCCCCCCAAAACAGCCCCCCCGGCATCTATTCTGCCTGGAAAGTTAAGCCCCGCCCCCTGACCACGCCCACCGGTTTGAGCGGCCCGTTCTGGGGCTCCTGAGAAGAGAAATATCCACAGAGACGCATGGTTTAGAAAAACAAAGCGCTTTATTAGAGCCGTCATGTTTCTACTCATCGTATCAAAGTGTACAGCAGTAATTACTCAAAGAGGGCTAGCATGGTTCAACTATTATGCACAAGACTACACAACTTCATTTATGGAGACAAAGGCGTGTGCTTACTTGTGTATGCTTAAACAAATAATAAATATCTAATATTTTCCAATCAAAAAGCTTCGGAGGCTCTCATTGTCAGGGTGAAGATGCAAAGCTTTGAGGGGAAAAAGAAAAGAAACAAACATCTTTTAGAGACTTATTTCACTAAATCCAGCACCGGGCTGGAACTTTTGTTTTCTCTCTAACAAGCTTTCTCTGGAAAATGAACGTTCGAATGAGTAAAGGATCAGAAAAGAGCTCGAACCCTTTGGAAAATAACCCGGCTGCATAACCAGGCCGAGTTTGAGCTTTAAAGAGGCGAGCACCAAAAAGAAAAAAAAACCTGAAACTCCGGCTGAGTTTGTAACGTCAAAACACCGAAAACATGCAGAAAAAAACACAAAACATGCAGAAAAAAACACAAAACATGCTAATCAAACCACACAAAAGCACACAAAAGGGGGCGGAGCTAACATCAATATGAGACATAACCACATAGAAAAATGACTAAATACAAAAAGTGCTTCATAATAACGAACCAGACCCAGAGCAGAGCGCCTGGAGGGGGGGGGCGGTGCGTTCAGGGACAGGGGCTGCGCTGGAATATTTTGGGGACCCCCCTGAAGCGGGGGTGCCCCCCCCGGCGCCCCCGCCACTCGCCCAGAGACACGGGCGCCATATCGGTCCCGAACCGCCGCTGGAAGTTACTGCAAACCAGAACAGGCCCGGGTTAGTGGGCTAACATTTTATCCTTATTAACATTAAAGAAAAGAAAAAAAAGAAAGACATATGGTCAAACTTCCAAAGGATAACTATTAAATCGTGTTTTAAGTCTGCAACAGAAAGGATTTTAAGTGCATCAATGCCTGAAATTAAAAATAAATAAATCCTTGTTTATACTGTAAACATGTTTGAACAACTAATTGCACCATTGCAAAATTAAATCAAATCAATTATAATATTTCATAATTATAATAACTAATAAACTACAAAAACAACAAAAATAATTAATTTATATTCAGTTCAGCAACATTAACTAAGATATAAAACACTTAGCTTTCGGGTGACTTTCTTTTGTCTCATTATCTTTGTCTTTCTCCGCTGTTCTTTTCATCCCCGTTAAAAACTTTTAATGTTGGGGGTTTTTATGTTGAATAATGGAGGCTACAGACAGAAGGCAGATGCTAACCGAGGCTAACCTGTCGTCTTTAAGTCGTAAAATGTTGCACTGAAGTAACGATGAGAGCGCCACTGCCCCTACTGGAGTGGATGCGCAATTACACTTTATACTAGTGTGACCCGGAAAAAAAAAAGGCTGTTCCCCAGGCCTCACTATTTGAGAAGCACTGGACTAGAGGATGACACGGGAGTGGATTTTCACTCCTGTCCCATAGAAATAAATCTTGTCCCGTCCCACTTCCAGACCAAAGTTAAAAAAATAATCCCATCCCATCCCGCTCTTGTTTAAAATGACTCCTGCTCCTGTACCGCTCCCATATATTTTTTTTCTTCAATTAGTGTTTAGTTAATACATAAAATTTTGATTAATCTGCTCTCCAGTCTCCATCCTGTTTTAGACCAGTTGCTTAGCCCGAGATTTTCTCCAGAAAATGGAATACAGCAAATAAAAGAAAAACTGTACAGTTCACACCATGTCTACAATAGTTTAATAAACCCAAACAGCACATACAGTGGGGGAAATAAGTATTTGACCCCTTGCTGATTTTGCAGGTTTGCCCACTTACAAAGAATGCTTATTTTTCCTCATCAGATGGTTATCAATTTTTATAAATTCATATGATGTGATTTTCTGGAATTTTCTTTGGGATTCTGCCTTTCACTGTTAGAATGTACATATGATTAAAGTTATAGATCGTTGAATTCTTTGTAAGTGGGCAAA